TTGTGTGAATGAATAGGATGCGGAGAGTTCGCCGCGCGTGGTATGCGCGGCGCAGCACGCAGGCGCTCATCAAAGCGGGAACTATAGGCAGAAGCCCGCCGCGCTTTGTGTGGTAGGCGAGGCGCCGATCAGGGAGGCGCGTTACGTGCAGTACGGATATCAAGTTGAAACCAATACTGAGTCCTGCGGTAGAGACGGGTCTCATTGAATTGGTTTAGAATTGGTCGGTATATCGTGTAGTTAGGGCGGAATTAGAGTTTGCCGAAAGGATTTGGCAGGAGAGTACCAGTGCAGGGCTGCTGGTCCGCATACCCATGGAAGCGGAAGGAACGCGCACCGATCGTGGATGGGTACTTGTAAATGCGCCGACCGCATCGGTGGCTGTAAGTACGCGCTGCAGCTCACAATTGAGGGATATCCCGACAGCTGCGGTACTTGGGTTGTTAGCGCGGGTCGAATTGTAGTTTGCGCACGAATTCGGAAGGCGGGCCGTTGATCATTGATCGTTGGCGGGGAGTTCGCGGCGCGTGAGGCGCCGACAAGTCGGGCCTTGTCGTAAGTGGTCGATATCTGCACGTCGGCTGCCACTGACCCACGACGACGGCTGGACGTCGTATTACATACCCAGCCCGCAAGAAGTGAACCGGTTCGGCGGCTCACGCGGCACGTAGGCGTTCTGCTCCTCAGTCAGCAGATAGCGTGCCTTTCGCTTGGGTGGTTCAACAATGAGAACACGAGCCCTTGATTGAATCGGCGCCGAAAACGTGGCAGAGACCCCGCGCAGTCCAAGTCGGAGGACCGACCCGGGGAGCCGTCATCGGGAAAAAAAAATTGCTAAAATTCTCTCCGACGATTCGCGCGCTTGGACGTTACGGTCTCCCAGTCCAATTGGCCAGGCTGCGTGGCAGTAGGTTTCTCTCGAAGCTTTAGGAGGCTGTGTCGGTGGCCTACGCTTCTGTGCTTGATGGGGATGGGAACTTACTATTGCAGTATTCAGGAGCTTGGGCCATTTTTTACAAGAGAGTGGACTTAGGCCTGTGGGCAAAGACCGAGAAACCGGACAAGAGGGGGAAATTTCTCTCCAGAGCCTATAGACTTGGCTCCCAAACCAAGGACTGTTCATAGTGGCGAGTATGCCAAGTTCAGACGTTGAGGGCTTGGCGTACATTTATGGACGATGAGAAAGCGGTGGTCAAGGGCGAAAAAAACAAAACACAGCCAAGCAATGCTCAAACAGTGGCAAGCATCAATCGCTTCTTCACCGATTCCCGAAACGCTCACCAGAAACTACAGGCTTGCTCTGTTTACTCATGGACGACTCTCAAGCGGTTCGGCTGAATAACGAGGTAGTTTCGTGGCAGTCAGCCGCAAGAACCCTCGGGCTCATGATCATAACGACAGGCAAGGAAGCTCTTCAATGACGGGCAATTTCACGAAGCGGCCAAGCTATACGAGGCCGCAAACAAAGCTGACACTCTGAACTCTCCCATCTACCTCTCAAACTTGGCCTTGGTGGAGCTCAAACTGCAGCAGTCAGTGTTTCATCAATAAAACCGTCGCGCGAATCCAAGGCCTACCTCGATTTATCTAGGCCACAAAGGGCGGAGATTAGCGCGACGCTCGCACTTCTGCGAGATCCCCGTTTCACCAAGGCCCGATATCGGCGTGCTATCTCGCGTTGGAAGCAAGACAGACATATGGACGCTCTCGTTGACTTGGGTAGCGTGCTCACGACGGATCCAATGGACAAAGCGGCGGCAGCCAAGTTTACGACGATTTTGAGCGAACATGAGAGCCTGGAGAGCGGCCGTGGCCACCTGAGCGCCATGGCCATCCTGATGGCGGACAACCCGTCAGCTTACGGCTCAGTAGCCGCACCTCGCCCCCTCAAAATGCATCCCCTGGCGCCCCAGTCGTGATTCCGAATGTCAGCTCGCGTACTCCGAAGAATCTCAGAGCTGGGACGTGTGCATCGTGCAAGACCGTCAAATGGATGCGGGAGATAAAGACCTGCCGTGGGGTTCGTACATGATCGTCTGCCACTAGAATTGACCTTTCTGACACGGTCATTCAGTGCTCCACCGCTGTATACTGCAACGAGGTGTGTCAGCGAAACCATTGGTGCGTCAATCGTCCCAGTTCAATGCTCAAACCGACCTACAGTATTGACGTTACACCGCGACGTAGGCCGCAACACAAAAAAGACTGTATCCGATACCCCGATCACGACGTCCTTGCCATGCACCTCTGCAAAACCCTATTGGACCACAAATACATCCGGATGCATCTCATCTTCTACGCCATGCGATCCATCGGCGCGCTGCACCACTGCCCTCCCCCGTACCTCGCCGTCCTACTGGTGTTCATCAAAATGGTGCCAGTCACAAGCGGTTCTAAAGCCGCACGGAAAAAGCAGCGGCTCTCCATCACCAACATTATCACCGCGCCCCTCGGCGTCTTCGACGAAGACACGCGAATTCCTATGTAGACCAGCTTGAACAGATGCGCGGGACGTGCGGGATGCCCGTGGCGCCAGGCGTCGCGCTCGTCGCGACGCCCTTCCTTGGCAGAGGGCGCGAGGCGGACAAGTCGAGATGCTTGATATTCATGCATCGCGTCGTGCCGGAGCTGGTGATGATGGCGACGCAGCCGGCGTTCCAGAAGCTCATGAGCTTCGAGAGTCATTCGTTTGGAGTTGGGAGGACGCTCACGGCTGATTTGGACGAGCTTTATTGGTGGGCGGCATGTCCGAATCGTTACGGTGACTCGACCACTAATCCGGCGTTTGTATAGGAATGTCGAGGATGAGCTTGCAAATGACGCAGAAAATTACTATGGGTTGCAAGGTTGAAGAACGTCGCATAGATTTGTTTCTTGGTGAATATTTGCTTCGTCAGACTTGGACGAGCTCTTTTGGTGGGCACATCCGACTCTTGCCGATGATCCTCCCTACTGACTTTGCGTTCAAAGGCCGGCGAGCGGCACAGCCGGTGCCGAAGTCATTTTTGGAGACGCGAAAAATGCCGGCCGTGTTGGAAGCATGGTACGCCGTGCGATGGACTACTGGAACAATATTGATTTTGGATTTGTTCAGGGCATTTGCTTTGGTGATCATGGTGCAGAATCGTCATGCACTGTGCGTTTCCTTCATTTGTTCTGTTTTGGCGCCAACACGTTTGGACCCATTCGATGTCCGAATACCCCCAATTTCTTGTACTTCATGTGCTTCATTCCTGAAATTTCAAAGACTACTTACTTATGTATTGAACCGCTGTGCTCTTTCCAACTCGTTCTTCGGCCAATCAGTGATGCATAATGCCCCCCGACCGATTACCTCAAAGCGCCGCCATACACCACCGAAACAAAATAAATAAAGAAGAGAAGTGCCGAGTACCGCCGCATATGGGCTCGAGACGGTGGTCGAACAGGCAGTGTGTACATAATTCGAGGGCGTCGAAGCATCGAAAGCAGATATCGATGCGGAACCACCCGCAACCGAGCCTTACGAGCTCCGTTTTGAACTTGCCTTTGTTGAGGGGTTCCTGTCGCAGAACGAATTTAAAAGAGTTTCCAACTCCAGAGGTAGGGCTCGAGTTTGAGTCAAACAGGCACTGTTCGCAAATGTAGCGGGTGCGCTGGGTGAATTGGTTCAGAATAGAGCGGTGATCCATCCATCACGGCATCACCACATTCAAACCCATGCAGTCACTTATCTGTGTATGAGTACACCGAACTTCAGAAGGTGCTCTGAGGAGCCCACTGGTGTGCAATATTGTTTTTGTGCATATATTTCAATCCCTGTTGGAGAACATATGTACAGTCGGCGGTTAATAAATCGAATGATCATGACATCGAGAATTTGCCTGAAGAATACGATAGCTTTCCCAATAGTATCAGATCGAGATTCATCGTACCTCTGAAGCAAAGGGATCACTGTGATCTGAGTATCTGAGTCGTGTGGGCTTTGGAGAACCCGGCGGATGGGGACACAGTCCTCGAAAGGATGGACACTTCTGCAAACGATCTTCATCATCGCAAACTCGCCGCATTCAACGTAAGTAGCATCCATAACCGTCTGGTACTTTCAATGCCTTCAGGCGTATAGATAGACGCGGAGAATAAACCAAACCCTACTGTGCGCACTTGTTCGTTCTCGCAGGACTTCCGATCTTTATTGGTTCCCTTCCGGCATGGGATCCATCCCACCTGATATCCTTGACAGAAGACAGCCTTGCTCTCAGCCAGTCGCGGTTATTATACTAAACCAAGTCGCTTCGATGTAGTCTATCCGTTGATGGTTTGGCGTCGGGAGATGCATTCTGCGAGGCTACAGGCCTAGGTTCAGCCTCTTTTAACACAGATCTCGCACTGGCCATGAGCAAACCCACGGCAGTGAACTGTGCTGCCCGTTGAGGTTGTGCACGTTCTGGGAGTCAGAACAGGGACGAGCTCTAATATGAAAAAAAAAAAATATGAAAAAAAACATTGACTTGCGGAAAAGGCGTCCTCAGGGAGTCGAACCCCAGACCAATCCAATGGGTTGTGTGTTACCGCTACACCAAGGACACGGCATCAGAGGTCCGAAATGATGGATCTTGTCTTCTTAGACTCCGCACTGTCCTGATATTTTTGTACTGTTGCATTCGCTGACATCAAGAAAGCAGTCAGTCAGAGGGAAATCTATTTTTTCCACACAAAAACAATTTTCCTGACGTGTCATTGGACTCGAACCCCGGACCCAATTTAGCCTTGGGCATTCATTCAACAGACATGGATTGTGTGTTACCGCCACACTAAGGACGTTACACGGTGTACACCCTCCGACCAATGGATGGACCCCCCTAGGTTGATTCTGACCATCAATCTCAGTATCAATCAAAAATTAGTGAAGATCAAAAGGTTCCCCGGTAGGGAGAGAGGTCAGAACAGGGACATCAGAAACGAGGAATAATAATTGAAAGGTTCAAAGAGAAGGGGGGAAAAAAAGAAGAAATTATTCAGGCGTCCTCGGGGAGTCGAACCCCGGACCAATCCAAATCGTTGAGAGACTGTGCGTTACCGTTACACCAAGGACACAACATCAGAAGTTCGAACTGATGGAAACAAATGTCTGTTGTAAATCCGCATTGGTCCAAAATTTAGTGCTGTTCCTTTATTTACTTGGACACGGGTGGCTTTGGCAGATGTATTGGTTATTTCAGTGGCAGGAAACAGACCTGCCAAAAGGAAGCTTGAGTCGGCTCAGAGTGAAAGAAATATTTTTAAACACAAAGCAATTGTCCAGGTATGGCATGCACCCTTGGGGACTCGAACCCCGGACCCAATCCAAATTCTTTCCAGTGTCTATAGTACTAGTAGATTGGGTGTTACCGCTACACCAAAGACATGATATCAGCACCCAAAATGATGGAGACCATATCAATGCAGTGAACAATCGATATCAGTATCAATTGATGTGAAGAGAAGGGACAGGATGATAGATACGGATAATAATGGAAAGGTGAGGAAATAAAAAGAGAAGGGAAAAAAATCAAGAAATTGTCAGGCATCCTCGAGGAGTCGAACCCCGGACCAATCAAGTGTTCATCGACTGTGTGTTACCGTTACACCAAGGACGCTACATCAGTTATTTGAAATGATGGTTGAATGATGGTTGTCCTTCTCTGCCTAAATTTTGCATTGTCCCGAGAAACGCCGTGAAGGTCCGAATTGAATTGACGTAAATTGTCCCAACACAGGTGAAGCAAGCAACTGGCTGGGGCGGAGGGAAGCCTGGGAGTCTAGGCAGAGAATGAGAGAAGAGAAAAAAGAAAAGAAAAAAGTCCACTGCCAACCAGGCGCCCTCGGGGAGTTGAACCCCGGACCCAATCTAAAGGAAGGCATACTGTGATAGAAGTAAATTGTGTGTTACTGCTACACCAAGGGCGCGATATCAACATCTGAAATGATAGACATCCCTTTTGCTTCTGAGCATCAATCAAGATTATTAGTGCAGATAAAGGTTCACTGATAGTCAGAACAAAACTCGCCATTCAGAATAATCAAAACCTACATACTAAGTCTGACCGATAGAAAGAAAGAAAGGAAAGAAGGAACAAAAAAGAAAAAAATTTGCAAAAGCTGCGATAGCGTCCTCGGGAGTCGAACCCCGGACCATTCGAATTGGTGGAAACCGAGCTGTGAATGTGTGTTACCGTTACACCAAGAACGCGACATCACAACTTCAAAATGATAGAAACAGATCTCATGCTGTCTGAGGTTCTCTTACATTCCGCATCTTGCGATGTTGGTCTGGCAAGCAAGAGCAGAAGCCTGAGTGAGCCTGAAGGGAACTAATACTCAGTGGCGGGTCAAAAGTTTAAGGAAACCCAAGGGAAAAAAGGGAGGACTAAGGTGAAAAATTGACGCTGGCATTATACTATGCACCCTCGGGGACTCGAACCCCGGACCCAATCCCAGAGCCGATCGAAATTCTCAAAGGTAGATTGTGTGTTACCACTACACCAAGGGCGCTACACCCATCTGCCAATTAATGGGTTACCTCTGAATCATATCTTTCAGTATCAAGCCTCAGCCTGGGGATGAGCTCGGAAGAAAGCAGGAAAAAGTCAAAGTTGCATTTGACACTCCACATTTTTACTAGAACACGGTGGTGCAGGCAAAAAAAAACTCCCCAAAAAGAAAAAGAAAAGAAAAAAAAAGACATTCGCTCCTCTTCCTGGAAATTCAATTGTGTCAGAGCTGCAAGGGTGCCTTTGTTGCATGTTGCAGATTTGTGTTTGATTGGTATACATTTTACATGAATATTGGCGAGTCAAAACTTGAAGGAAACGAAAGGTTCGACGAAAAATAAACAATGAGGAAGGAAAAAAAGGACATTGTCTTATTCTCATGCGCCCACGGGGAGTCGAACCCCGGACCCAATCTCATTTAGTCATCAGTTCGCGTAAGTAGATTTGTGTGTTACCGTTACACCAAGGACGCAATGGCATACTGTCTTCTGTCTTCTGTTCACCTGTCACCTGTCATTGCCTCACTCTTAGAATGCCGGTGGCACTTAAGATGAAGATAAAGACAAAAGTAACGACACTGCACCTCGCTCATGGTGAATGGAAGTCTCAGTCGGGTCAGTAAAAGAAAAACGACGAGAGACAAAAAATGTTTCCTAAAATTTGGAAATGCGCTCTCGGGGAGTCGAACCCGGGCCCAATCATTTCAGGAGTTTGGAACAAAAGCAGAACTGGATTGTGTGTTACCGCTACACCAAGGGCGCGATATCAGCCTTTTTTTTTGTTTTTTTTTTTGTGGCACATTAGCCAGTAGCAACTAACAATTGGTTAGCATCTGGTTTGTAAAGTTCGAAATATTAATTTCATTGGGAGTGGTTTCCACCACCCAGAGAAATGCCTTGCGCACGCCCAAAAGGGCAGTGTGGTGCTGTCGCGCTACCCTATTCCGCAGCTGTTACATCACCGGGTTTGGGTTTGGGAGAATGCGCAGTCACTACTGGGAGGCTCCCTGAGCCAATCGGCTGGTAAGCTAGTTTCATTATCCAGGGTGCTGGACCAGGTCTCAAGGACCAGTTGGGGCGCCAATGCAGGACATTTCCCCTTGCGTGGCCTATTGGCCAGCGTCTTGTTGATCTGCAGTCGCTGATTTATGGCAAATTTCCATTTATTTATAATTTCTTCTTCGGTTGCTGGTGTACCGTCCCAGGATATAACCCAATCATTTCACAATTTCCAGATTAGATAGGCTGACTCGGATATTAGGATCCAGTATAGCCTTTGTGTCCCACATTTGAGTCTGCCCTTATAGTCTTTGAATTCAGCAAGACCACACCCCAGTATCGTGCCCAGTGACACCATGGGCCAGTGCAACTCCTTTTCATGCCAGAGGGACTCGGCTGCTCGCCATACAATCTCCTGTCCGGGGTTTGCACATCCGAGCAGAATATGCTCGAGATCTTCCAAGACATCACAGTCTGTGCAGGTTGCACGATCTTCGCATTCAGATATGTGGTTCCAGTACTTTCCTATTCGGTGCGTGTTATGGAGCATTTTCCAGAGGAATTGGCCTGTCCGTGGCAGGATATCTTTTGCTGCCACTGCCTTCCATATGTCGGTGTCTGTCACGTACCTGGAACTGGAACTGGAACTGGAACTGGACCAAAGGTCGCTGCCACATCTTCCCATACAGTCTTAAGCATTTTCGTTGTTGATATCCTCGGGGCCACATCAGGGAAACACCCCTCAGATATTTTTGCATATTTTCGCCAAAAATGTTCAAAAATTTCTTTAGTTTTGAAAGTTGGCAAATTTACTCAAAATATCTTCCCCCCCAAAAAAAATATCAAAAATTTGCCCGCCTTGTGAGCAAATTTTGGGTAGATTTGGGCGACTAAAGCCGCCTAAATATTCCTCGTTCTAGCTCATATCAGACAGAAAGTGGACAAAATGAAGATAGCATTCATTGCAACATAAAACATGACTACATAATATCGAAATCTACCGGAAATACTACAGACCAAAAGAAATACGGTCATAAGTCCAGCGAACCATACATGTATGCTGCGGCAGGCTCAAAGACTGGTCATAGATGGTTAAGGTCTTGGTGTTTATTGATAGATGAAAGGCCGAAGATGCTTGAATAGGGGTTGACCAGAGATACGAACGGGCTATTGAGGTAGAGTTGCTGCTTGGCAGTTGAGGGTCTCTTGCAATGTCATGGTTCGATGGGGGTTGTGCTGTTGATGGGCTTGAGAAGGGATGCGTTGACAGGATCATCGGAAAAAGATTGAGGAGCTGGGGGGACTTCGCGATAAAGCATTGCGATAAAGTTTGACGAGAGCCGCAGCTGTTGATGGGCTTCAGAATTGATTGGTCAGTCACAAGGTGAGTTGCTGAACAGCATCGAGTTCGAGAAGGGGGACAAGGGAGGAGGATTGAGGAGGCTCTGGGAGGCACGAGGATACAAAGGAAAAGCTGGGCAACTTACGGCGAATCCAAATGACGTTGCACTCCCACACGTGGTTTTTGAGATGGATACCAGTATTGAGAACAGGGAGTGGGACAGGCATGTGTTTGGAGACTTGAGGGAACAGGAGATGTTCATGGTGGGCGATTATAGAGGATTGAGTTAGGTGTGAGGGGGGGAGGGATGGTGGGGGGAAAGGAAGAAAGTCTTCTGCCCTGACGCCCATCGAAGAGTCCAAGACTCGTAGCGTGATGGTAAAGTGCAGTACAACTCCTCTCTAGGGGGTGATCAATTTTCAATTGATGGCACAAATGTGCCATGGTTGAACGGACACGGCGGCCAACAAAATGTGCCAGCCATATGCTCAAGGGCGGCACATTCGGGGGATGTGCTGGCCGTGGCCCCGAATGTGCTCCCTGTAAGCTGAATGTGCCAGGAGTTCGAATGTATGTACTTGCCGGGCTTGGTCTATCCCGATGAAGTACCGTCTTTGGACGGGAAAAATGATGGGGCAGAATGATGAGCCAATAGCTTGGAGGGAGGATGCTAGCTGGGTGCGACGAGGGGGAAATTTGAGGCAGGGTGAAAGACAGTAATAAAGAGAATACAGAGACAGGCACAGAAAAGAAGAAGCGAGCAAATAGAGAGTTTGCGCAGCAGCCATCCGAGCCACCTGGTGGCTGTTTTGCGTTGTGCAAACTGGATGGCTGGTGAAGTAAGGTCACTCTGAGTTTTTTTGAACTAAATTGAGAACAAATGAATGCTTATCCATGTCTGACTCGAGAAATAACCCCTCACCACACAGGATCCCCCAAGTTTGAGGAAATAAAGTGTTTTGCATGAAAATATTGTGCGACCAGTGCATCGAAGGACCTTGGAATCCATGAATGGTGTGTACACTTGCAATGGAAGTAACATGCTCAAAAGTTAAGGGCAGAAATCGAACCATCCATAAGCCACCAGCTACCATTTTGCGCAACGCAAAACAGCCATCAGGTGGCTCTGATGGCTGCAGCGCACTTGCTAATGAGACCCTCCCTTTTGAGTGGGTAATAGGTAGCTGATCGGAGAGGTCAAAAATAAAGAAAAGAAGCGCCCTTGACATTAATCTTTGCTTTCGGGGTCACATCAAGCCCAGATGACAACCAAACCAAAACTGGGGTCCAGACCTGTCCAGACATCCACCAGTCCAATAAATTGGGGCCCATTAATATATTGGTTTGCACTGCATGGAGAGGCTAACTGGATGGTCACCTTTCAACGTGGATTATAAGCACGCTGCCACAATGGGCAGATGGCACACCTAATATAGAAAACTTTCCGCTCAGTTAAAAGGTGAAAGGAAATTTTGAGCAAATTTTGCTACTGGTCCGGAAAATGCCGGACCAATGGCAAAATTCGCTCTAACATTCCGTGCGCCTTTTAACTGAGCGGAAAGTTTTCCATATTAGGTGTGTGGACGCCGTGATCTAGGGACCATCTGAAAATAAAACCACCAATTTGAGTAAGGTTTGGAAGGGGGGGGGGGATTTATTATACTCGCGTGGTCCAAATGACTGAACAACGAGTTTACCGAAGACAAACAAGTAGTAATGTATGGGTGGTTATCCTTAATATAACTACAGGATGCCAACGGAGCACACACCAATCCAGGGGTCGTACTACTCTAGCGTACTGTGGGCTGGCTGGCCGCTTGTATGGCAGGATGGGCGGATATAACCCTGTGGGACCCGGATCGAGTTCTCCCTCTCCAGGTATAAATCCCCGCTCTCCACCAGTCCACAGTGCATCGTTGTAATAGTGTCCCTTTGCAGAATGCATGCACAAGCAACCACAAATTGGCATGTTCAACTTCCGAGGAAGGTCCACAGCCAATGCAGGTCAGCGTGTTCAACTTCCGAAGAAGGTCCACAGCTAACGAACAAGGGAGATTCCAAGAGGACAGTGCAATCCCAAAAACCTAGGAGGGAGCACAGTTACAGTTGCGACGATTCTCGCGAAAAGCTCCAAGAAAAGCCGAGAAAGAAACACGAGGTGCGTCAATAATCAAAATGGAGCTGGGATAGCGTAGCAGCGAAAGGCGCATAACACCGAGAAGCAAGAGAGGCGAGGCGAAGAGTAACGGAAGGAGACGAGGCACCACCGGAGCTAAGAACGACCTGAAGGAGCAAAGAAATGGCAGGCGACCCGAAAGATTCGAATTGTGACAGTGGTCCGTGCGTGGCAACGAAAAGATCTGGGAACGATGCAAATGCACAGACTGACCCCAGGGGCCCTCGCAATGTCCGACAGGCGACGAGACAAGAGCACCCTCTTCTCGCGCCGGCCCCGGGCCTCGTCGAGCCTGGAAGGAACGTGGTTGAAAAGGAAGCGGCAATGAGCGAATGGGGTATCTTCGGATGCGCGGCAAACATGAACAATGTGATTCAAGGCATCTCGAGGTGTCCGGCGAGGCGGTGCTGAGGCTCAGAGGGAATCATGGACCCACTCTCACTCGCAACCTCTGGCACAGCACTCGTCTCAGTCTGTATCACCATCGCCAATGTCCTCCGCACCGTCATCGAGACGCATAAAAGTTGTCCACAAGAGCTCAAATATCTTCTCTCACGCGCTGCAGGACTGTCAATTCAGCTGCACCAGGTGGATGCAGCCAAACTCAACTTATCGGCGGTACAGTCTGCGTATATGGGACAAATTTTTGATGAGGAGGCGTGTAGGAAGACGGTACATGAGCTGAATGATTTGGTATGGAAGATACACAAAGCGCGATCCGAGCAAGAACCTGAGGAGGCGTTGAAGAAGACGAGGGTTGTGACAACGATGAAGTGGTTCCTCAACAAACCGCAGGTGGATCGCCTATTGATGAAGCTGAGAGAGCACCAGCAGGATATCTTTATGGCTGTCACCACCATAACAATGTACGCTTCTTATCACTTTTATTTATCGTTGTAATCGTATTTGCATTCATGCAGGCAGACGAGTTTGGGCACCAAGGCAGATACGAAGGCGATTCTTCACGACAATGCTGGTTTCAAAGCGGATCTGGCATCACTTGCGGCTAGTTTTGCGTCGCTCACGGCGGCGCCAACTGTCAACCAATCACTCGACACATTTCTACAATCAACGGAGCCCGTCTCAGCGTTTCCCATTCCTCCCCATCCCCCAGCGAATCTGAATACACATCCTTCAGTTTATCTTCAGAATCGACAGCAAACACCTGGATCCCTCAGTCGTTTTCAATCTCAATTTCAATTTGGAACATGGCATGGAGCGACTCGCCAACTCGGGAGATCGACG